TTTTTTTTTTTTTTTTTTTTTAAACAGCTGGGAGCTGGGGCTTGGCGGGGCAGTTATTGATGGGGCTGGGACAGTGGGTGTGGATCGGGGGGGAGCAGGCAGGGCATGGAGCTTGGTGGGCATTCCCCCATGGTTCCCTTCCCCCCTCCTCCACCCCACCCCGCCACCCCCTACTTACTGGCACGGAGTCCAGCTCCAGCTCCAGCTCCCTGCAGCAGCAAGTGGGATATGACTGAATCTCCGTAGCTCTCCGAATCTTTTCCAAATTGATTTGGAGAGCTTTGAATCAATTCAAACCTTCTTACTGGTCTCCTGATTTGATTTGGATTCAGAGATTCGGCCACTGAATTAGACCAAATCTCCTCTGAATTGAATCAGCACCCAAAGCTTCGCACAGCCCTAATGTATATAAGAAATATATATATTCAACAGCCACTGTTATTGGTGAATTCCTTACAGCCTTGCATTTCAGTTTTGTTTGTATGTGCATTTATATCATCTTTCTAGAAAAATTAAAAAAAAAAAAAACTCAGTGAAATAGTCTTGACAATATGAACAAACAGAATTTGGCTAATACCTTCTGTGCCATCTGGCTCTGCTTGCTCCTCACGCTGCTTTTGTTTGAATTTCAGGTTCCCAAAGTGCATGACGGCTCCTGTCAGCTTGTAAATGGCTGTTTTCTCCTCAGCATTGAACCCCAGGATGTCAATGGCACTCTGTGAAAAGGATCAGTAAAGTCTCTGGGTGCGTCTACTTAAGACACTGACTGCGCAGTAGCTGAATAATACTGTGCAGTAGCATGACACAACATGGAAAGTGCTAATATCCTACTCTGCAGTATTATTAAGCTACTGCACAGTAATGTCACTTAAAAGATGTTCGCTAATTCAAGTACTAAATAAATCGGCAGTAATGACTGCACAGTAGTGCCTCATGTAGACACACCCCCTATCTAGTAAAGTTAATGCTCTACATAATAACTGCCACTGTTACTTACATCTGTGGCCATCAGCTCTTCTTGGTCATCAATGCTGGGAACAGTGATCTCCCCTTGACTCACAAATGGAAAGTCATAGGGGTTGGTGGTAATCAGAAGCATCTCTGAAAGAAAGAATAGGACACACATTGTCTTAGTTTAACGGGCTATGCGATAAAGTTAATCAGTAGCTGTTACTCAGCTTCTGTGAAAAATGTTAGTGATGCCTCTTACCAATGAGCTCTGGCCTCTTGTTGGACATGATCTGATAAAATATGTGGTAGCTTCTTTCTGCCTTGAGCTGGAATGTAACTCTAGACTTCTCCAGCAGATCTGGCAAGACCCATAAAATGCAATTAGCCACAAGAAAATAGAATGAGAATAGATAAAAAGGAATATTGGATATGTCCAGGAAGGTGTCTCACATGTTTCAATGTCAGCAGAAGCCAGCTTCCCTGTGGTGCCAAAGTGGATTCTGATGAATTTACCCTTTAAAGGAAAAAATGGCGTATTTACTCAGATTCACGATGAGGTTTCTCCCAAAACAAAATGTGGGGGGAAATAAAGCCTTGTCTTAGATTTGAGTATTTGCTGGAGACAGAAGTTGGTTCAGCTCCAGCTTTGGCCCCAGGCTCAGGGCTGAAGCCAATGCTGAGCCATGGCCTGTTTTGGATCAGGGTGGCTTGTGCAGTGTGAGAAAAGGCTCTCAGTCAGCGAGTGTGGACAGACTGTGTAGTTGGGGTGGGGAGTGAATGGGGGAGATCCGTGGTAGGGGGAAAACTTGCTAGACCCTACAGCCTCTCCTCCCCAACTTACCTTACACTCTGGCTCCAGCCATGGCTAGGCCCAAAACTGCTTCCGCTATTTTTGACTGGTGGGGTGGGCTAGGGCCAGGAAGCCACCACTGCTGTCTTCCCCAGAGCCAGAACCAGAGACAGCCAAAACTCCTCCAAAGATAAGTGGCAGAGGAAGAGGTGTGGGGGAGATGAAACACATAAATGGTGGGGTAAGGGGCGGGAGGCAGAAAGCTGGGGGCAAGGGGTGAGGGGGCAGGCACTATGGGGGGCAAATGGCAGAGGGGACAGGGAGAAGGGCAGCAAGCACAGCAGGCAAGGGGGCAAAGAATAAGGGGCAAGGGGCAGGATTTGGCCCCTTGCCCGCTGCCAGTGCTTTCTCTGCCATAGTTGTGGGAGGGGGGTGAATTTAAGATAACTTTCCACTAATTCAAGTCTAGATATGGAAAATTTTAATAAATTAATAATTTTCCATGTCTAGAATCTGCTTTGTGGGAGGGCAGGTCATCTTAAATTCAAAGTTGTCTTGGATTCAGGTAAATGTGGTAAGTAAGTCAAACATAAACGCTGCTGTGGGTACTTTTAAATGGCTTTAACTCTCAGCCTAGATTTATGTTATCATAGTCTACTTATAGGAATAATTGGACCAGATGCAATTCTCTTAAGACTTACAAAGCGTGAGGAGTTGTCATTTCTCACAGTCTTGGCATTGCCAAAGGCCTCCAGCAGAGGGTTGGCACTGATAATTTGATCTTCAAGGGTCCCCTGCAAAACAATTGTTATTGTCAAATTTCTTTGTAAATCACGTGTTAAAACAAATGGAGCATTTAATCGCATCTCCAAAACCTCACGTGCAGTTTGCCGGCCTGCTGCGGCTGCTCTTCCTTTTTCTTTTCCCCACTAGCTGCAATTGTTGCAAAGTACTGGATGACACGCTTCGTGTTCACAGTCTTTCCTGCACCAGATTCTCCACTGTCAAGCAAAACAAAGCAGCAGAGAACAGAGTCAGCCAGCTCATCTGGCTGCAGGTGGCAAAACAAAGATTGACCAGAGCAAAGGAGTTGACCTACGTGATCAAGATGGACTGATTCTCCCGATCTGTGAAGGAGAAAAAAATAAAGGTGACTTTTAATATTGTTTCTGAGCACCACGGAACTGATAAAAACTGTGAAATGTATGAGAGATCAATAGAGCGCGTCACAGGATACGTCAGCTTCAGGTCAACTTATATAACCATTTCCATCTCACAGAATTCTCTTTTAATGAAAGTGGCTTACATCTCCACGCAACAAATGGGTAGTACAGAACAATGATTCTATCTTCAACTTATGACATTTTTATGAGATCAGTTCAAAAAGCACGTGTGTGTGTGTGTGTGTGTGTGTGTGTGTGTGTGTGTGTGTAGTCCTACTCCTGGCATAGTGGGTTGAAGAATTCTGGTAGGCAAGTATTAACTATATGTAAAGTGCAAAGCAAGGGATTTTCTTTGGATATTTTCACACTTCTCTTTTCTGAGTCCACCTACAGTCAGAATGTGCAGAGCCAGATGCACAAAAGCAGTACTTTTTCATAACTATCCTTCTGAATTGCAAACAGACCTTGGTTTAGATTCCTGTTGAAATACTAAGACAATTCTAAATGTGGAATTGATGTTGGGTTCAGGATCAGTTTTGGTTTGGATGAATCCCTGATACTTCTGATGCAGTTTGCACATTACTTGCCTTGAACTTTGTTTATGACTTTAACTGTAACCTCATTTCCTTGCAAGGACACCGCTTCTCCTGGTACTATGTAATCACCTCTAAGGAGACTGAGTTACTCACCAGTTAACATGGACTGATAGGCATTGTCAGAGATGGAGAAGATGTGGGGAGGGGCTTCTTGACGCTTTTTCCCCCTGTATGCCCTGCCCCCCTCTGGGTTGTACACTGGCAGCCACTTGTAGGGGTTGACAGTGACACAGAAGAGACCAGAGTAGGTCTGTAAAAATAATACAGTTGTCTTAATATGACTATTATAGGCATATTAGAAACTGAAAAGCAAAGTTTAAACAAGTGCCTTCCTACCTGTGGAGCAATCCCACATGAAAACGCTCTGAAGATAGGAGCAACTCAGGCTCACGTCATAGCAAAGACAACTAAACACAGCAGGCACTTGAATTCCAAAAGATGCCCTTTCCCCTGTTTCTGCATCTGATTATTTCCAGTTACTGAGGAGAAGGGCTGGCCTTAGCAACAGGGACATGCCATACATTTTGGAGGAAAAGGGAAGGGAGATTGCTCTAATCCTAGTTACACAATAAAATCACATCCTACTTGGCTAGCAAACCATCAGAGAAAATGCTGAGACTGCATTTCATCTGCACCATGAGCTACAGCAGTCATCCATCCAGAAAACATGGCTTCGTCTTTCATGGGAGTACAAAAGCCTCTCCCTCAACTCCCCACAACATAAATCTCTCATAAAGTTGTAAAGAGAGTCAGAGAGGAGCATCCATGAAAAAGGGAGGAGAAGACACAATAAGAACAGTATCAGCAGAGGGATGAGAGGGGGTCAGTATCATAAAGGGACACAAGGGGGCTGAGTAGGGCTGGACTAACTGTTTAGTGGGCCCGATGCAAAATAGTGGGCCCCAGGCCCATCTAGACCCCCACCCCCCGGCACTGCCGCCCACAGGGAACAGGGCTTGCTTGGAGCCGCTGCTAGGAAGCAGCCACCATGGCAGCAAGTCCAGAGGAGGGGAGGGGAGGGGAGGGGAAGGGAAGAGAGGCGGGTGGGGCCATTTGCGCCGCTGCAGCGGGGGGAAGGATGGGGGCTTCCCCGCAGCTCAGGGCCCAAGGCATGTGCCTAGTTTGCCTTTGTGTTAATCTAGCCCTGGTGATGAGATGACACACAATGAAGGAAGGATTTAGTAAGTAACAGGGAAGGAAAGTGAAATGTCAATAGGTAAAAAGGGAAGAGAGAGGGGGAAGGAAAAGAAGGGGGAAAGACATGAATGGAGGGGTCAGAGACTGAGGAAGCATCTGGAAGGAGAAAAAACCAAAGAGCCAGGAAGTGGCAGAGAGAGACTGACGGATGACCTTCAGCCCAAAAAGGCAGCGAATTTCTGCTATAGCCTGCACTTACGTAGATCATCCAGGCTGCATAACGCTCTTTGAGGTTATACAGGACAGCAGGTTCATGGAGATGGGTCATCATAGCCATGTCCTCAATTTTATCATACTTGGGAGGGTTCATTGAGAAGATTTGATCATCCTTAACGGTGAGACTCTGTGAAGGCAATTAAAAAAAACAGTTTGTCTCAGTTAAGAGCACAGAGGAGGAACACAATGATACTCTTTGCTCCTTGTGTTTACTCACTTCTCCCTTTTCTGTCTTGACTGTGACCTTCCCTCCTTCCCTGCTCTGGATGCTGCCTTTCACATAGGATTCTTTAGCATGCGCCACAAAGACAGATGACTTGGCATCAAAAGG